GGATCAACTTTTCCAGAAGAGTTCATAATGAGAAGAACTCATCTGAAGAAGAAGAAGAAGTTCATAATGAGAAGAATTTGTTTAACCTTTTGCTTGAATTCATCACTAGATAAATCAACATTGCTAGAGAAAGTTCATAATGAGAACTCATCTGAAGAGGAAGAAGAAGTTCATAATGAGAAGAACTTGTTCAACCTTTTTGTATGACTCTATCACAGAAGGAGATAGATCATCATCAACTTTTCCAGAGAAAGTTCATAATGAGAAGAACTTATCTGAATAGGAAGAAAAAGTTCATAATGAGAAGAGCTTGTTCAACCTTTTGCATGACTCTATCACAAAAGGAGAAAGATCAGCATCAACATTTCCAGAAGTGTTCATAATGAGAAGAACTCATCTGAAGAAGAAGAAGAAGTTCATAATGAGAAGAACTTTTTCAACATTGCCTTAATTCATCACATATTGAAGTTGAATTAACAACCCCTCTTTTGAAAATCAACATTTCCAGAAGGAGTTCATAATGAGAAGAACTCATCTGAAAAAGAAGAAGAAGTTCATAATGAGAAGAATTTGTTCAACTTTTTGCTAGATTACATCATAGAAAAAATTAGATTATCATCCCAGTGGAAGAGTGGAAGAGTTCATAATGAGAAGAACTAATCCCCAAAGAAGAACTTGTTCAACATTTCCATCCTAATCAAGTGAAGTCAAATGAAAAAAAACTTATTGTCTTTTCGTCTTTGCCCTATTCTCGTTAACACAAGAACGAGCAAAGAGATGCAGCTGAAGACACTAGTTTTTTTCATTTGGTTTATTATTATTATTATTATTATTATTATTATTATTATATTACTATTATTATTATTATTTATTATTTATTATATTATTTAATTAAATTATTAATTAATTATTATTATTAATTAAATTATTATTACATGCCCAAAATATTACAAACACGAGCCCAATTACAATTCCAGGCCCATATCTGAAAAGCCCAACCCGAATCAGCCTAAGTTTAGAAACCCTAAACAAATTAGGGTTTCATCTTCTTCTCCAGCCGCCTCTCCTTGTTCACCGTTGGATCTAGCTTAGATCCAACGGTCTAGATAGTCCCAACAGAGGATATCCTAACCCTAGGGCCACGCGACCGCCGTCTTCACTGCCACCGCTCCACATCTCCACCAGCCGCTGCCACGACACCCGAACGAAGGCTCCAAAAGTGTTACCAGCCGCACAAGCGTCGTCATTCTTCGGTGAGTCACCACAAGTTTGGTGACTCACCAAAACTCCTCTTTGAGACCGGTCCAAAGCAAGTGCCGGTGATGGCTATAAAGCCATCGACCGAACCTACAAAATGGAGATATAAACGGAATCCAGAGAGCAACACAGCAACCATAAAACACTAAAATAACAAGAAAAAAAATAAGAGAGATACTTACCGAGGAAGCCACGCCATCACCGGAGTTCACACGAGCCTCCACGCGCCACTAAAAGCCTTCGAAAACCGAAGGTATTTTCGTAGATTTGCTCCGATCAGGAGCTTTTTAAGGGAAAAGGACACCAGAATCGTCATTAGGACGGTCCGATCTATATTTTGGGTGTGAATTAGCATTTTCTGGCCACCATCGGCGGTGGCCGACGGCGGGAGTTGGCGGCGGCAGACGACTGCCGGCCGACGGCCGGCCTTCCTCTGGTTGGAGGAATTTAGAGAGAGGCGAGAGAGAAGAGAGAAGAGGAAAATAAGAATATAGCCCGAAGGGCCTGCTATAATAGGGTATATATACCATCTCTTAAACGACGTCGTTTAAGGGAGGGCCTTTGTGTAATTTCACGCACGGCTAAACTATTCCCGCAAACTGTAACTTTAAAAACTTGCAATTTGATCCTTACATCATGTTTTTATTTATTATAATTTGGTATTCGAATTTTATTTATTATAATTTAGTCCTTTACATAATTATATATATTTTAGGTAAAATAATCAAGTTAGCCATTATAATTTTATTATTTAAAATTTTAATCCTGAAAGCATGTTTTAATTTATTTTAATCTAATATTCAATTTTGATATAAGTTTATTTTAGTCACTAAATTAATAAATTGGTAAAATAGCATGTTTAGCCACTTTAATTTTAAATAATTAATTATGAATTAGGGTATTTTAATTTTAATATGTTATAATTTAATCACTAATTTTAAATACTTTCATTTTATATTTTAATACTATAGTTTTAATTTTATTTATTTTAGTCACTGTTTAGTTATATTTTAATTTTATATGTTTATTTTCAATGTATTTAATTATTTAGTCATATAATATATATAATAAGTAATATTTATTTATTATTTATTTTTTATATAAAATCCTATTAATAAATTTAATTTTATATAAATTACTTTTATAAACATATTTTAATATTTATTTATTTTTTTAATATTAAGAAAATGACTATCTTAAAGCAACTAGAAGTCATTTTCTGATATTTTTAAATAACTAAATATCCTACTTTTATAAATTATATTAATTCAATTTATTTTAATTATTTAGAGAAATGTTTTATTAATATTTATTTATTTTTAATATTAAGAAAATGACTGTCTTAAAGCAACTAGAAGTCTTTCTGATATTTCTAAGTAAATGAATATCTTATTTATTAAAATATAATATATATATATATATATATATATATATATATATATATATATATATATATATATATATATATTATTTATAAGAATTTAATATATTTTTCTTAAAATTATAGTAATAAATTTGAAATCATAAAATTATGAACTAAATATATCTTTGAATTTTTAAATTTCTAATAATAGAGACAATTTATAATTAATATGTACCAATTTTGAGTGTTATATGGGTGTTAATCCTTCCCTAAACGTAATCGACCACGAATATTTTTTTACTAAATTTTTTTTGGTTATACGCATATTAGTTTATCTTTTAAAGTATGTTTTCTTAAAAACTATTTTAAAAGATTGTTTTTAGGTATTTGACCTATCTAACTCAAAAAGATCAATGACGACTCCCAAAATATTTTTTAAATCAAAATCATTTATTTATTCATTTTACTTTTTCTGCCAAGTAAAAATTCATACCCGGACGAAAACCGGTTACTACAAATGGTTTTCAGGAGGCTGATGAATTCGGTCCCGTTGATAAGAATGATGACCTAATAACGGTGGGATGTAAGGATTCTTCATTGTCTTTGAGCACCTCATATAGATTTTAAGCAAGTCTGTAGATTAGATGGTCTAACTGTTTGATTTTGAAACCGTTAGGTAGGGTGTATATTTTCGGATTCAGATATTATCCGATCTGAAATTTTGAATATCCGAAAATTTCAAAACGCTAAAATTGTGATTTGTATCTGATCCAAAAAAATCATATCTAAATTTTGGATGTCCAGATACCCGATCCGAGCATAGAGCTTACTTTGAAAAATTAGATTTAAATTTTTATATTTTTTGTCTTCCTCTATCCTTACAATCTAATGTTTTCCAAAACCTAAATGGATATTAAATTTAAGTTAACATAATAATCATTAGTTATTACATTCAAAACTTAGCTAAAACTTAAATGTGAAAATGGAAAGAAAACAATCCACTCTTTGTTAATTTTCTTTTATTTCTGCCCTTCTTGCAACTTAAATTTGAAAGTTAAAGCATATCGCAATGTTAACCGTAAAGTAAGCTTAGAGTTATACATCATGCGAATCAAAGATGTTAAACAACAAAAATTTGCAGAGTTGTAGTGACGATATATTCTTTATTCAATTTTTAGACTTGCAGTGACCATGTATTCTTCATTCAAAAATTAAGAGAATGGTTTCGGAACTCCATACAATATTGATTTTTAGTTTTAATGTAAACTTACCTAAGATTGGAATGGAGGTTGTTCAGGGTTTGGATCTGCCATATATCGAGAGTTTAGAGAGAGAATTAGTCATTGGAGCTCTCTTGAGAGATGTAAGAAACCCAACAATAGAAATTTGATGGTGAAATTGGAGGAGATGAATGCCAATGGTCTACTGTGAGTTGAGAATTGGGATGTGGAGGAAGTAATTTGGGAGTTTCAAAAAGTTGAAGCCATTCGATTTGGGGAGTTTTGGGAAATGAAATCCAAACAATCGTGGGTCCATGGAGCATTTTAGGCCAGAGGCAGGCTGGGTAAACTCTTCGGCCCACTTTTTTTAGATTTTCGGATAATCTGAAATCATAATTTGCTCGATCTGTTTCCAATCCTATTATCCGATTTTTTTTCCGGATATCTGATATAAAATGGATCGAATATTCGAATTTTTGGATTGAATTATCGGATGAATATATCGGATCAGTCAGACCAGATTATTTTGCACACCCCTACAGCTAGGGAAGGCCATTGGCTTCCGAATGCTGGATGAACGAATCAAGAAGATGTGGATGGCAAAGATTGAATATGAACTAATCGATGTTAGAGATGGTTACTTCCTAATAAAGTTTTCTTCTCTAGATGATCTTAGATTTGCCCTAGAAGAAGAACCATGGATTATCTATGGCCACTAACTTACGGTTCGCAAGTGGTTTACGGATTTTCACCCGTCCTCTACCACCATTGACTCTAATACGGTGTGGATTTGCTTCCCTTGGGGGGTGCTTTGAAGGTAGATATGAACACTACCTTTGCTTCAAAGGGTAAATCTTCTCGGGTTTGTATTGAAGTAGACTTTGGAAAAGCACTTTGTGCCAAAAATTGAAGTTGATAGGAGATGGTATTCAGTAGAACATGAGGGATTGCCACTAATTTGCTTCCATTATGGAAAATTTGGACACCAGGACGGTTATGTTATTCCCATTCCTCACTGTGAGTCCTCTTCGGGCAGCATAGTTATGGATGTTGATGCAAAATGTTCTCTCATGTGAGCATATCCAACTTGAGACTACCCCCACTATTTGCTAATGAATGTTCTCGTGTAGAATTGTCGAGGTGTTGGAAATAAAGCCTTTATGCGGAATGCTAGGGATATGATTAAAGCTCATAAACCTAGTATCTTTGCAGTGGTTGAACCTCGTGTTTCTGACAGGATAGCCCAACGTATTGTTAAGAAACTCAGTCTCTCGAAAGTTCATATCGTCGATCTGATTGGTTTTGTTGATGGAATTTGGATTGCTTGGGATGACCAAGATGTTGCTGTGGACGTGATTTTCTCCTCTCAACAAGTGGTCCATTGTGTTGTGAAGTATGGTGTCACAGATCTTTTCGTTCTCATCGTGATTTATGCTAGTCTGACGTTGAAAGCCTGTAAAAGACTTTGGTTAAGCTTTAAAGAGTTTGCTGAGTCTAATAACCTCCATTGGGCTATTGCAGGTGAATTCAACGATGTACTATTGATGACTGAAAAGTTTGATGGGAGGCGCCCCTCTATTTCCCGGTGTCGTTTATTTCATGATATGATATCTAGCTATAGACTGCTTGATTTGGGATTCCAGGGCTCTCCGTATACTTGGTGAAACATGAGACATGGAAAGGAGAGAATTTATGCAAGGTTGGACAGGGTGTTGGCGAATACTAGCTAGTGAGCTCGTTTTCCTGAAGCACTCGTCACGCACCTTCCGCGTCTTCGCTCTAAACACTACCCAATTCTCTTCCAGATGTGTCTTACTAAAGTTTATTCGAGGGAAAGTCGCCATTTTCGTTTCCAAACCATGTGGCTCTCTAGTGATGGATTCCACGATATGGTGGCAAATCTCTGGTCCTCGTTTAATTGTGACTGTTGATGGTTCTAAACGGTTAGCGGATAACCTTGTGGCTTGGAACAGAGACCAATTTAGGAATTTATTTGGGCAAAAAAACGTCTTGTTGCGAGAATCAGAGGTATACAACATGTTCCCATACAGTGCCAATCTCATCAACTCGATATTCTTGAAGAAGAATTGATCACTAAGTACAATAATCTTCTCAAACAAGAGGAAACATTCTAGTTTCAGAAATCTTGTGTTCAATGGTTGCAACAAGGTGAAAAAAAACACGCGTTTTTTCCACCTTTCGACTGTTACTCGAAAAGACGTAACAAATTTGCTATGTTATGTAACATTGATGGTGAATGGATTAGTGATCCCGAATCTCTCATCTCCAAGGTTTATGATTATTTTAGTAATTTATTTTCTTTGGACTGTGTTGTGAGTAACCCTCTTCCATGCCTCAATTGCCCAATGATTCCTAATGATAAGATTCAATCTTTAACTCAACCATTGTTGGAGGAAGAAGTGCGCGATGCCCTTTTTATGAGGAAACCTTGGAAGGCACCTGGGGATAATGGTTTTCGTGCAGGTTTTTATCAGGAAATGTGGATCACATTTCGAACTTCCTTTATTGAGATCATAAGTTCATCTTTGGAGATGGGCTCATTCCCTGCTGAGCTCAACCAAACCTTGATTGCTTTAATTCCTACAGTGGCCTCCCTAGACTCGGTTAAGCGATTTCGGCTTATTAGCCTTTGCACAATCGCTTATAATATTATAACGAAAATCTTGGTTAATATATTAAGTCCTTTATTGGACAAATTGGTTAGTCCTCTTTAGGTGAGTTTTATCCCCGGTAGACAAGTCGCAGACAATATTTTACTATCACAGGAGGTGATTCACAAAATAAGACTCTTTAAAGGTAAGAATGGTTTGGTTGCGTTAAGATCGATCTTGAGAAAGTATATGATCAATTTGTTGGGATTTTCTAGAGGATATGTTGCTTCAGTTTGATTTTCCTCCGAATGGATTAATCTCCTGCTCTTTTGTGTTCAAAGCTCCAAGCTCTCTGTTATTTGGAATTGTGAGAAGACAAAATTTTATCCCCTGCAGAGGTCTGAGTCAAGGTGATCCTATTTCTCATTTTTTTTCTTCTTATGTATGGAAAGACTCAGACATCTAATTCAGGATTTTATCAATAAGAATTCATGGAAACCAATCAAACTTGGGAGGGATGGCCCCCAAATATCCCATATTTTCTTCGTAGACGATTTGTTTTTATTTGGGATAGCAAGTGAAAACCAGACGATTGTGTTCAAAGATATCAATGATCAATTCTGTTCGGTTTTCTAGTGCAAAAGTGAGCTTTGAAAAATCTAAGTTCCTCATATCTCTATCAGCTCAATATGGAATTGGACGACAGTTTAGTCATGTTATGAATATGAGTTCGACTTGTGATTTAGGGAAATACCTTGGTCTGCCTCTAATCCATGGTCGAGTTTCCAAGTTAACATATGTTGAAATTGTTGACAAAGTTAGATTATGATGAACAGTTGGAAAGCTAGTCTCATCTATCCAGTGGGAAGATCTATTCTAGATGGTTCAATCACTTCCGCTATCCCAATTTACACTACGATGACATCAAAGCAATGTCTCATGCACATCCAACCTCCTCTTGGTCTCACACCTAGCGAAGTGTTTTGGCTGGTCCCTAATAAATCTACAAAAAAGTTATCTTTTAGGATCCTTTTACCTAGGTTGAGTTTGGACTTTAGCATCATTATGAGCAAATTAGGATCATTTGTATATAATATTTGTGTTATTTGCATCATGGGAATTAGTTGAGGTTTATTGGGCTGGTTTTGGTTTCATTGATGAAAATGATACGCTTACACATCAGGAAGTTAGGGAAACCTTCTGGAAGGAGCAGCTATCAAATGGTCAAAAATAACTTGAAACGTGGAGGAAACCCATGGTTGAAGGCCAAAATCCTTAGCCTATAAATTGGAGAGCTCTTTGCATCATTTGATATCAGATTTTCTGCCTCCAATTTTTTTCTCCACCACTTTTGATCAACCATGATAGATTAAGTCCCTCGTCGGGGAGCGCTGCAGTAGCTTGGGAGCTTTGTCGAATAGCTTCGGCAATCAAGAAGATTCCTTTTCTACTCTTGTTCTTCGTTAGAGATAGGGAAATAACAAGTAGACTTGACTGTTATTTAATTTATGTGGTGTGGATGATATTTTGGGTTATGAACTTAGTTGTTAATGGAATGCTTTCAATTATGTTTTGACTTTATGTTATGTGCTACTAGACTTTAAAGGTAGTTGCAGAGATGCAATTACCTTCATAAATGTTTATTGATGATATTTAAAGATGAAAATCATTGTCGTACTATTTTTTTCAGCATGGTTTGTTGAAAACAAGTTTGCATGTGAGATATATGTTTGCCAATATATAATAATTAATAATTTAACTGATTGAGTCATGAAAGTTGATTTATATCTATTAGATAATATAATCACTGCTAGATGCATAACATTTAGTTCATGACACACTCGTAATAGAAACTACTATATATTTTTCTAAACCATTCAATCCTTGACCTATTGCTCTCACCAATGCTGTAACACTACCTGATATTTTCAAATTTGAATTTTACCTTTAGTCATTAGTTTGCTTCTAATTCTTTCAACTTAAATAACTTTTCATAACTTTTTTAGCATAATGCTCTGTGGGTTTTGACACTCGAAGCTTTCTACCTTCCACTTTATTACTTGATTACGACACGTGCACTTACGTTGAATGTTGTATCAATTTCGTAGCATCAAATTTTTGGCGTCGTTGTCAGGGAGTATTTGTTTTGCATTAGAGTTATTCATTTAATTTTTTTATTTACTCGTTTATTTCCTTTTTGTAGGTACCTATTTGATTTACTAGTTTTGTTGGTGTATGTCTCATATCGACAACGAGCTAGAACCGTTTAATCCTAAAATTGAAAGAACATTCATTCATCATCGAAAAGAAGCTTATCATAATCGAAAAAGCATGACTAGACGAGGTAGAGGTAATAATTCTTTACCACCATTACCACATGTTGATATGAAGAATTGTCGGCTGACAATTGAGTGAGTAGTAGCAATATTATAACATGGATGATCGTATCAGCCTATTCTGGAGCATGTTGTGCCAACACTAGATGATTTATCTTGGCATCATGCGACCAACTATTCATGTTGTGAATTTTGAGTTGAAACCAATGATGTTTCAAATTTTACAATCCATGGGACAATATACTGGTTCATTCACTAATGATCAATGCACACATCTTCAAGAGTTTATGGAAGTGTGACTCGTTTGTTTAACAATAAGTCCCTAAAGAAGCATTGAATATGAAATTGTTTCCCTACTCGCTAAGAGATAAGTCAGAGCATGGTTGATCTCACTACCACCTGGTGGTATAGCATCCTGTAATGAGTTAGCACATAATTCTTAATGCGATGCAATCCGCTGGTTATGAATGCAAAGTTATGAAATGACTTGACATCTTTTAAGCAATTAAAATATGATAATTTCTATGAGGCATGGGAGAGATTCAAATACTTGTTGCGTAAATGCCAAATGTGTGGATTTCCACATTGGACACAAATGGAAATGTTTTATATTGTGTTGAACATGCAAACTCGTATGGTGGTTAATGCTTCTTCCATTGAAGCATTACTAGATAAAACATACAATGAGGCTTATGATATTCTAAAAAGAATATCTAACAAAGATTATCAGTACCCCAATACGAGGATCATGTTTGGCAAATGCAATGCTACAACGTAGATATTGATGCTTTTAATTTCATAGCTTCTCAAATCACAACATTGACTGACATGGTGAAGAAGTTACAAAAGTCATGAGGTATGTATGAGGTAAAACCACATTTATTCTTTCTTGTATATATTGCAGTGATGATCACACCTATGAAGAATGCCCTCAAAACCTTGAATTTATCTACTATGCGATAAACTACAATAGAAATAATAGTACTTAAAGATGTTAGAAATTTTTTAACTTTAAATTTCATATCTTTATTAAATGCTATAGCAGATGTTGTTAAAAAAATACAAATAAGTTGGAAAAGTTGGTAATAGCTCCAACATAGTTTTATAAAATAAGTTGGAAAAGTTGGTAATAGCTCCAACATAGTTTTATAAAATAAGTTGGAATGCTTCAACATCAAATCTAAGCAGATTACTATAGCATTGAAAACGATTAGCTAAATAAGAACAATTTTTCTAACTTAGCTAAGTATTGATTGGATACACCTAACCTGCACAGTACTACACTCAATGGATTCTGATTTTACTAAGTTGAAATTGCATTCCTTAATTTAAGATCATATGCATGTTGTACGCAATGCTGCAACAATATTCTGAGGGTTGAAAAAGGAAAATAAAATTTTGATTGGTTTTATGATATTATTATGTGGCATTATTGTTAGCTTTAACTGGATTGCATGCATGTTGTTGCTTGAGGACAAGCAAAGACTTAGGTTTGGGGTGTGATAACTCTACAAAAGAGTTATCTTTTAGGATCTTTTTACCTAAGTTAAGTCTAGACTTTAGCATCATTAGGAGCATATTATGATCATTTGTATATAATTTTTTCATTATTTGCATCATGGGAATTAGCGAGGTTCTTTGGGCTAGCTTTGGTTTCATTGCTGAAAAAAATGATACGCTGATGTTTTAGCATTGCTTGAAGCTGCAACGTCTACT